TTTTACCTTATACATTTGATGTATTTATTTTAGGGTGGACTTCGACACGATCGTGCGATTTACAATAATGGTTCGAAAAAGCTATCGAAACATACCATACCATAATTGGGCGCATGCGTTCTCGGTATCTCACAGTATTTATGTCATGCTACGTAAAAACGACTCGATTCCAAATATAGAGGTAGGTACGATGGTGGGAACTAGCGATAAACTAGTGTGAGCTGCGTCGGTGTTTCTAAAGAACAGTTGTGTAAGAAGATAAATTTAACTAAAAAAGTAGGTGAAATAACTTACTGACGTTTCGGACGTTAATCTATCGTCGGAGTAAAGAGAATGGTGCTGTACTGTTGATGATGATTAATGATGATGATAGCAATAGCATCTTGTTTACATTGCTCTGATGATTTTTGTAATTTTAATGCACGCACAGTATTTACATTTGTATTCTCGCGCACGCATTGTAATTTCATTTTTGCCTGGTGATGGACAAGTTGTCCGAAAGTTCGATAACTAATAAATCAATGTAGAAGAAGGATAATGGTGGAAACTATAGGGGTAAACTAGTGTGAGCTGCGTCGGTGTTCGGTGTTTAATTTATCTTTTTACACAACTGTTTCTTTACTAAAGTAAGTTACTAAAGTAAGTAAGTTATTTCACCTACTTTTTTACGGTGTTTAATTTATCTTTTTACACAACTGTTTTTTTGGAAGAAGCATACCTTAGTTATATCATGAATCCTACGTACGATAACGTTTTAAAGTGTAAACACTAAAACCTCGTTTTCACTAGCGACGCAAGGACAAGCGCAAGCACAATAACAAGCGCAAGATAGGCGCTTGGTTTATCACTGCATTAGGCGATTTTCACTGAAAAATTATGCCTCTTGTGTTTGCTCCAGCACTTGCTTTTGCATCGATAAAAAAACAGGCGTTAAAGTATGTTATTGCCGTTAAATTAACATTTTGTCCTCCAGCTTTTGCTTTTGCATCGATAAAAAAACAGGCGTTAAAGTATATTATTTCCGTTAAATTAACATTTTGTCCTCCAGCACTTGCTTTTGCATCGATAAAAAAACAGGCGTTAAAGTATGTTATTGCCGTTGAATTAATTTTTTGTCTTTCTGTAAATTTTCCCATAGAAACTTTTCCTGTACATCGCCGGCGTTATACATGACGTCGACCACCGCGGTAAAAGTAACGCATTCATGCTTCAATCAAATACACCATTAGCCAACTTGTACACAACCTCAACCATGGAATGGCATCACTTCCATCAAGGAATATTTATCTTAGAGGTAATTAGAGCGGATTTCGTATGAGTGGGACACCGTTACCGCACGGTTACCGCACAGTTACCGGACCTGGCCTGCACAATTTTGGTGAACCAATGAGGCACTAAAATTTGGTTACAGTACGATTACGGTCACAGTACAGTACCGTCCGTTTCCCACTCATACGAAATCCGCTCTAGTGACGAACGTAACAGTAACAGCTTCATGAAAACAAGCCGTATTTTTCGGTCATCAGCGGCCATCTTGGAGGATGTACGACAAAGGATTTCTCATTAGTATCTATTCCCCACTTTTTTGACAAAAGATAATAATATATAATTATACATATAAATTTTGCAATCCTAAAAGGAAATATGACGGGACAAATGGAACTTCTAAATTGGGCCCCCTCACTACGGGCCTGCAGTGAGAGTTTTTGGGCGATTGTGACGATTCGATTAATTGTAAAGACACGATGCACAATAATGTACATTATGTGATACGATACGACACGGTACGTCACGACACGAGAGGATATGATGCACCACTTAAGAAATATTAAACGGCGCGCGTGTTTCCGTCCTCTGATATAAACACGTTGGGAGTTCGAAAAACACGAGAGAAGCAAGCTTTTCTCTTACTTCTCGAGTGTTTTTCAACTCCCACCGTGTTTATATCAGAGGACAGAGACACAAACGGCCGTTTTATATTTCTTTTATAAAATTTTTCGAGTGAAAAGAAAATTTTGCCGGTAAGCCGTGTCTCTGTCTTATGATATAAACACGGTCGTCAGCCAATCAGAGCGCGCGTTATATATCCAAAAATTTTATAAGTCACGATGCACCACGACACGATACGATATGATTCAAATATAAGTGTAGAATTCTATTTMATCTTTCCATATCATAGAGAGATGGACATAATGTATTTGGGAATTTGAACTCAAGCGACTATCGAAAGGTAAGTCATAACATGACAGCAGYTGAGTTTAATGCGAGAAAACCAGATGGGAGAAAGGAAGGAAGGAAAATAGAATTGTTGTTGGACAGCGGCACTTGAAGCTTTTACGTCACTTGAATTGCAATGCATTGTGGGATCAGTTTCTGGAGACAATACAAATCCGCCATGTTTTGTCCCAAACATATCATACAATGTACTGCTTCAGGGAGAGTCTATCAAAGTCAAATCTCTWCGTGCAGATGCACTCGCATGCTGACAATTCTAAGTACAACCAGATGTCCAAAATTCCACTTTTCTTTCCTCACTTCAATATAAGCCTGTTTCTCTGTTTCCTAATGGCCGATTTAGACGGTACAGCTTTTTGGGGATTTACAATTGTTTGATAACCCTGCGACAGTTGTAGCCAGGTTGTAAGGATGACTTACGCAGGTCGCTTTCGATGGTTGGCAAAAGTTGTGCCTAAATCGGACTTAATGGGTGTCCGCTTACAGGAGATTGAAATAAATTTTTTTTTTCCAAATGTTTTATTTTCATAAGGTATTAGAAGGGATMCAGGAATCCATTTTGGCGACTGACCTGGCGACATTCTTTGGAAATAAAAATAGACTGGAAAAGATCAACCAAGACAATTCATTCTGCTGGAAAAACGAAGAACACAGGTAGAGATAATAATTTTCRTATCATACCCAGTCTCATCCAATAATTGTTTATATCATACCCAGCCTCATCCAATAARTGTTTATATCATACTCAGCCTCATCCAATATTTTTTCAGATTATACCCAGCCTTACCACCAATAAATCTTTACAATCATCATYATCTGCAATATYACTCTKTCARTTTAATCTCTTCCATTGTCCATTTTWAGGAGTCTTGTGCGCCGTCTAYTGATGACTGCGTGTGATTTGTGTGCATCTGCTAAGCCATGGAATATACAAAAAATGGCTGTTAAAAAAGTCTTTGAAGAATTCTATATTCAGGTAGGGGCATGAATGCCGACTGATTTACTAAAGAGCACAGCGTTAAAAACCTCACAGATATATAGTCATATTTGACTCTCATACAAACTTATATTATATAAAATATTCGCGTCCTACATTTATGGGCATTTAAAACWGTTAGCTGCAAGCGAGCAGTTTTATAGCCCATAAAGKTYGGACGSAAATATTTTATATTGCTTATCAAATTCCAACCTAAGGTAAAGCATATTTTGAAAAAAACTTCAGGATGAAATATCATTTGTAAGAGAAAATCAAAGTTAAAGTYGTATGCAAATCAGGACAAATMTCTTGCTCATATAAAGATGCGGTCACRGCAATGATTTTCYATTGTGTTTACCTTATGAATTATTAATGAATTTGATAAAAGGTTTATAGTCTWTGGAAATCAGCACCTGGGGGTCAAAACAATGGATTTTAGCTTCCCTATGTCCCTTGTGTTGTCCCTCAAATGAAGGGGCTTCAAGGGGTTTATATTAAAGACTATTGTCTGATTTAGGGTGAYGAAGAGAAGCAGAGAGGAGTAGAACCGTTGCCAATGATGGACAGAAATAGAAAAAAAGAACTCCCTCAGAACCAGGTAATAAAGCATCGCTMGGCTWTTGGATTACTAACTAATGAATTTTGGACTTGAAAAACAACAGCAGCTCATACATGGACTGGTAAGGGACTGCGCAATATTAATCAGGAGGAGGGGGGAAGGGGGGGTTGAGAAATGATCCAAAAAAAAMCCCTCGCAAATGAAATATGTGCAACTACCCTCTTCACCCCATGAATTTATTCATTTATAATTCCTAGCAAAGAGTTGTTACAAATCGTGTCACGCTATTCTTGAAAAGTTTTCAAATAATTGATTTTTCCAATTAAAGTTATAGTTAATTTAAGATGGTGCCCCTCCTCTTTAAGCACATAAAATTAGATTATGCCCCCTCTCTGGATTGTCAAACCCCCTCCCCCTCCTGATAAATATTGTGCAGTCCCTAAAACCATAAAACCATCCTATATTACCCTTTATGATGTGCTGGCTGATTCTATTATAACTTTGACTTGTAGTACTCGTTTTGGTTTGGTCCAATACTCCATTTTTGAATTCTAAGCGACCAACCGCTGTTTTATTTGACAGCAGATTCTCTTAYGCAAAGAACTTACCAAACACAAAAATGTTATACGTACAATAACTCTGACAATTTACATTTTACCCGAGTTGAGGCTAACCCTGTATTCACAGAAAGCTCATACCTTAAGTCTTATGGGAATACAGGGTTAGTCTCAACTCGGGGAAAATGTCAATTTTTAAGGCTTTGTAAAAATGAGATTTTCTCGTGCTCCCTTTTGTGTTTGTTCAGGTCTTTGCGYGAGAGAATCTGTAGTCAAATAAAGCAGCGGTTTTTCGCTATCAATTCTAAACTGGAGTATTGTTCTTTTGAATTTGATTTTCTGGAACCATAAAACCATCCTATACTACTCTTTACTCTATGACTGCCTCTTACATAACTTTGGTTTGTACTTTGGTTTGTACTTTGGTTTGTACTTTGGTACTTATTTTGGTTCAGACCCATGTATTTTGTCTACCCTTTATGGGTTTATCTTTGAGTTCATAAAGGGTATTGTTTAGACCTGTTATACTACTCTCTATTCAATAAAATAATGCTAAACTACTCTATATGCATGCTGGCTGACTCTATCATAGCTTTGACTTGTACGTATTTTGGTTTGGTGCCATATATTTTGTCTACCCTTTATGGGTTTATCTTTGATTTCATGAATGGCATTGTTTAGACCTGTTATACTACTCTCTATTCAATAAAACAATGCTAAACTACTTTATATGCATGCTGGCTGACTCTATCATAGCTTTGACTCTTATGTATTTTCGTTTGGTGCCATATATTTTGTCTACCCTTGGGTTTATCTTTGATTTCATGAATGGCATTGTTTATACCTGTTATACTACTCTCTATTCAATAAAACAATGCTAAACTACTTTATATGCATGCTGGCTGACTCTATCATAGCTTTGACTCWTATTTTGTCTACCCTTTATGGGTTTATCTTTGATTTCATGAAGGGCATTGTTTAGACCTGTTATACTACTCTCTACTGATATTGGTGCCTTATGTTTATTTAGCTATTTTATCTATTCTTTGTAGGTGGGGTTCCTGAAGGGCATTGTTAAGCCATGTTATGCTACTCTTGATGAAATAATGCCGGACATGGATTGTATGATAAAAAACATAGAGTAAGTACAGTATTTTGTTTGATTAAAATTATTAGGTATCTAAGCCAGAAACAAAGAACTTAATCTCTATAAGTCATGTATTTGTTGATATCTTTAGTTAATTTGACCGTGAAACTATTATATAGAGCTTACAATTCACACTTTGAATCTATTGWTTTCTTTTATTCTTAGACAACGAACGCTAAGTAAATACTTTTACAATACAATTTACATTGCACGGTTAGATGATAACTACTTAATAGCTTGTTAATACGAGAAAKGGTCAAACAACGTACACCACTTATGAATAAATTTCAAGCACATTCCGTCTGCTAGTGTGGCCGGGGCATTTTTGAAATCAGATCATAAAAAAAAAACATCATGTTTCCTGCTGTGGTGTTGAATTTGTTTTCATTCTACAATTAGAAAACCTTTTCAAAGATTTATATGATTTAGAGAATCAAGAACCTATATTCTTAACCAATAGAAAAATTAAAAACCCAATTCAATTTGTATTCACTATCC